AGCACCAACCACTCCTGGTTTCTTAAAAACGACTTAGTGGTAGTATTCTTCTTACACTGGCTCCTCATACGTCCTTGCTTTCCACAGTTCCAACAACTTTTCTGAATACCAGCCTTTCCTGCTGTGGCATCTTCCCTTTGTTGAAGTTGCTGGCATTGAGCTCTCTTGTGGCCAGGCTTGTTACAGTGCGAACAAAGTCCCTCAAACCTCTCTGAAAGCTGACCTTTTCTGGCCTTGAATCCAGATGACTGTACCAACCTCGGTACCTCTGTGCTGGACTTAACGTAGGATTCAAATTCGAGAGCTTTGGCCATTGCATCCTGCATGGTAGAGGGGTTTGCTTACTTCACTTGTATCTTAAGTTGGGGGCTGTCCAAGGCGTCTACGAACTGATCTCTCAGCAACAACTTGAGGAGATCGGGTGGTGCAGTTGGGTAGGCCTTGTGTGCCATGCTTTCCAAGTCCTGTGCCAGCTCTTGCAGGCTCTCCCTTTTAGCACGCACTCTTGTCCTAAACCTAGCCCTGTAGACTTCTGACTGATTTTGGGTTCCGTACCTGAGTTCTAGAACCGCTAACAGTGCTCTATAGTTGTGTCTGTCGCCTGCTGACAACTGTTCAAGAATTTCCAGTGGTTGTCCCTTCAAGCTCGTTGCCAGATATACTGCTTTCTGCTCCTCTGTCCATCCATTCATCTCAAGCAGTAGCTCAAATTGTGCTCTATATGCTTCTCACGGTGTTTACCATCGTATTCCTGTGGCTTCCTTCTTACTGAATCACTCCTAGTACTGACATTCATATCTTGAATGTGACTTCTTACAGGGCTGAATATGTCTGCATTAGGGTTTAGCTGCAGGGTCTGGAAGGGACTTGTCATTGTCTGGGGCTGATTAAGTCGGTGGTTAATGTATCCTCCTTGTGTAAAAGACAACAAATCATCCTTTAACGTATCTAATTCGCTTTTAAATTTACTAATGCTTTCCGTTTGTACTTCTTGTTTCCTTTCTTGTTCCAGTTGCCACTGCTGTAATCTCTCTTCTTGTTTCTTTTCTCGTACTTCTTGTTTATTTTCTTTCTCCTCTAACAACTGCTGTAATTTCTCTTCTTATTTATTTTGTTGTTCGAGCTGCCACTGTTGCAGGTTTTCTTGCCACTGCTGTAATCTTTCTTCTTGTTTCTTTTCTCGTTCTTCTTGTTGCTTTTCTTTTTCCTCCAACAACTGCTGTAATTTCTCTTGTTTATTTTGCTGTTAGAGGTGCCACTGTTGC